ATGACAACACATTGCACACAAGCACCCCTAGGGTTTCACCCACTTGGTTGCCTTAAAACATGGCCATGGTATGCATGCAAAATATCTTGGCAAAACAAAAACAAAACAAAAGATCATAGTCCCTCGATGACGCTATCAAAAGGTTGCCTAAAAACAAAATGATCTTAGTCCCTCAAAATGCTAAAGATATTTGGCACCATTGCTATCATGGTCATACGATGACCCACGCCCGTCCCGTTTAACATCCAAAGATAGGGTTGTTTACCAAAGCAATGGTAAACCAACAATATCAAAGGAATAAAAATGTACAAGAAATACTTTTGAGTAGATAAAATGCTTCTAGTTACTTGATCATTTCAAAACAATCCTTGCTATTTTCAAACAAACACACACACTTCAAAACATTTCCAAACAACTTTCAAAACATTGAAACATTTTTCAAAATACAAACATCTTTGTATACATTCTCAGGAACGAGAATCATTACAAAGATTGCCTAAACGAAGACCTCTTTTCAAAATACTTTCAAAACCACACAAAGCACCATTTCAAACAATTTTCAAAGTAAAGCAAGTGATCTAAACAAATAACTAAGAGCCCATGGAAAACCATGGATGAAAAGGGTGCTAGCACCTTCCCTTTTCATAATCTACCCCCCGAACTCAAGAAAACATCTCAAAGGTCTTTCCTGTGCTTTTTGACCTTTCCTTTTGGATAAAATAAAAGTCGGTGGCGACTCTTGCTAAACCGAAACATTTGCGAACACAAACGCAAAACCCCAAGTCAGTTCTCCCACCGTATCACAAACAACATTACAGCAGATGGGCTCACATACGCATAAGTCGCGTCCATATATCATAAACATCGATGACACGAATGCATATATCACAATCTCATTGTACCATGAATTTCATACATCATGACATTGTATATAGCTAATGTTTTACCCTTTACAGGAAAGATCAATCAACAGATGACTATCATACAACATTTTCAAAGTTCCAGATTAATACCTGTAACTATCCAGGAAAACTATCTGTGGACGACTGATTGTAGATTAACACCTGTAACAAGCTAGGAAAACTATCTACATGAAGAAATTGAAGATTAACACCTGTAACAAGATAGGAAAATTATCTTTCTTTCTCAGGTCAGAGATTAATACCTGAAACCAAACAGGATAACTATCTATTCGACTAGCTGAAGCAAACCTACCTAGGTTCCTTCTCATTTCCAGATGCAGTTTTACACGAACTCATCATGAACCAATACTACACAGTCTCCTTCTCATATAAATTTCAGATACAATTCAAATATGCTCCAGATACGGATGCCATCCTGATACTCATTCAGATTCAGCTTTCAGATACAATTCAGATACACTCTAGATACGGACGCCATCCTGATACTCATTCAGATTCAACTTTCAGATATAGTTTAGATACGCTCTAGATACGGATGCCATCCTGATACTCATTCAGATTCAGCTTTCAGATACAGTTCAGGTACGCTTCAGATACAGATGCCATTCTGATACTCATTCAGATTCAGCTTTCAGATACAGTTCAGATACGCTCCAGATACGGATGTCGTCCTGATACTCATTCAGATTCAGCTTTCAGATATAGTTCAGATACGCTCCAGATACGGATTCCATCCTGATACTCATTCAGATCCAACTTTCAGATACAGTTCAGATACGCTCCAGATACGGATGCTATCCTGATACTCATTCAGATTCAACTTTCAGATACAATTTAGATACGCTCCAGATACAGATGCCATCCTGATACTCATTCAGATTCAACTTTCAGATACAGTTCAGATACGCTCCAGATACAGATGTCGTCCTGATACTCATTCAGATTCAGCTTTCAGATACAGTTCAGATACACTCCAGATACATATGCCATCCTGATACTCATTCAGATCCAACTTTCAGATACAGTTCAGATACGCTCCAGATACGGATGCCATCCTGATACTCATTCAGATTCGTCTTTCAGATACAGTTCAAATACGCTCCAGATACATATGCCATCCTGATACTCATTCAGATTCAGCTTTCAGATACATTTCAGATACACTCCAGATACGGATACCATCCTGATACTCATTCAGATCCAGGCTTTCCTTTCGAAGTAACCCTACTATCCAGGTTCATTGTCCCTTATCTCCAGACAACAATTTACAACCCTATAATACCTGGACCCGACCAGATACGATCGATTTCACATTTCCCCAGTTGAAGTCAAACTTAGACTTGGTCTGATTTTTGTCAACAACCACCTTCGAATGGCATCTTTAAGACCATTTCCAACAACTTTCCGTTATCTCTCTAAATGGCATCTTTAAGCCCATTCCTTACACAATCAACCAACACATCACCGAGTGCAAATTTTTGGGCACTCTAGTGTTCAATCATCTTCCACTTTCAAGCTACGAACGGAAAACATGCCGATCTCGCTTTTAAAGTTTAAGAAGATTGAACAGGGGAAGATGTTGTACCCCAAAATTTTCCCTCTCATTTTTTATTCAAGATACTATCTTAGGTCTTCTCTAATACTCAATTTGGCTCATAAGTTTGATCAGACAGTTTCTCTTCCTAGGAAGTAAGTCAACGATTAGGGTTTGACGTTTCTCAAAGAAAATTGATTCTTCAAGGGTTCAAATGGTCTTCATAGATCTTCATGTCTCCTCAAGGATGTTCATGCCGAGTTTCGAACCTTGCGTCACAAGTTTGCTCAATCAATGGTTCAGACGACTGAAAATGACTCCATTAACCCAAAAGCTGACCTTTTGCGAGACCAAGTTCAAGCGACTGTAACTTCTTCGTTATTCGATATTTTTGAGTGGTTTTTCTTGCGTATGACTTTCCTCGATGTTATCTCCAATTTCTCTTCACAAATCAAGAGTTGATTACGTGTAGAAGATCACCAAATTTGAATGCGTTAAAGGTCACTTCTTGGATTTTGACCTAATCTTAAATGATTGTCGCCTGATTTCTAAGATTTGTGATTTCCTCAAATTACGAGATCCTGAGACGATTATTTCTACATATGGTCATAGGTGATGTTGCACACGAGTTTATCTTAAAAGATCGAAAGAAAATTGCGTTGGGAAGACTTTGAAAGTTATTGAATCGTTGCAAGTCATTTGTTTGATTTCAAGTGTTCTTAATCATCATTGTTTTTTTTTTTAAAAATTTGTTAAGGTTGATGATGGTTCTCAAAGCATGATTGTTTGGCAATGAAGTTCCATTTTTATCGAGAAGGGCGTGTGAGTTTCATTTTGAATGCAAATTTGGTGTGGACAAGAGGTGAAGATTAAGATTGTCATTTAGATGACCATGGCTTTGGGTTTGAGTTAACCAAGTTAGAATTGAATTCTTAAACATTTATTTTGTTTAGAAATTTGATTGGAGTACAAGGCGCATTGGTTATTTGATCATTTTGTGATTGCTTGAAATCCAAGTTACCAAACCAAGATATTTTAATCCAAAACATTCAATTAAGAATTGCAAAGTTTAAGTAAATTCAAGTTTTGTACAATAAATTTCATTACACCAAATTTATTCAAGGCTTTGTATTTATTACATTTACAAATGAAATAATTTACAAGTTTTTGTTTTGTTTACAAAGAATCACAATTTTTTTGTATACAAAGAGAGAACATTTATTTTGTTTCTTCAAGTCTCTGTTGCTTCATCTTCAAGCAATCCTCGCTCGCCATCCATGCCTCATGTTCATGAAACAAAGAAGAGAAAATTAGAAATTCAAACAAGGTGATATGTAAAGAAAAGAAAAGAGAATTTCATCACTAGGGTTTGTATATAGGAATCATATTTTAAGTTGTTTTGTTATCATAATCTCCCTCCTCCTATTCTTGCAAATCACAAGGTTGAACCTTGGTTCACAAGAAGGAAAAGCAAACAAAACAAGCATATAGCAGCAAGAACAGGCTGCAAAACAAGCAAGCAAAGCAAGCATAAGCAGCAAGAACAGGCTGCCAAACAGCAGGCTGCTATACAAGCAGCACAATATGCAGCAAATATAGCAACATGTCAAACAACAACAAAATACGAACAGAACAACAACCTAAGCCTGCAGCATAAAACAAATAATACAGTAGAACAACAACTGAATATAGAAGCAAGCAACAAACAAAATATAGCAGCAAGCCCAAGGCCGTAAAGCAAGTATATCAGCAAGAAAAGACTGCAAAACAAGTCAAAACTGCCAAGCAAAGCTACCAAGACAAGGTTGTCCAAAGCATGCAGCAAATATGGCAGCAGATAAAAACAAACAAAACACAACAGCAACAAGGCAAAGCATGGACAACAAGCTAACAATAGCTCAAAAAACCTCAAATGTCATCATTTTCCCTAAATGGCCAAACCCTTCAGAAAATTGTATGATAAGAAAAATTGCTTTATTTCATGGAAAGATGAAAGAGATATCACCTAGCAATACAACCCATACAACAGTCTAAAATCCTGCAAAATTGCCAAAAAGGCAGCCTTGCATAACATGTGTTATGGTTGCCCTAAACCTGCACTAGGAAAGACAAAATGTAGCCCAAAACTCAGTCAAAATTTGCACCAAAGTAGACATAACTTAACCTGTACCCTAAAGCCCAAGGTCAGTATACCACATATGTTCAAAAACTACACCAACTTTGCCCCCCATTTTTCCATGTTGTTTTCAATATAACAGAGGAACTGTTCCATAAAACAAAAAGGAGAGAGGACAATATAGAAACCAAGAGAAAAAACTCAGAAAACAAATCACTGAAAACTCATTACACAAACCCCTGTCAAAACAGAAAACCAACAAGCTACAAATGACAACACAAAAACCATAAGTCAGAAAAAAGAACCAAGACAATACAGAACCATTAAAATCAAGCCAAGAACAATAGCAAACACAAACTCATACAAACCTATACTCCCTTTGTCCAAAAATCCTCCAACCATTAAAACATCTCTTTTCTTCCATTCATCAAACCATCATCTTCCCCGAATCCTTCTGAATACCGCCTTCTGTCAACAACCATTCACCCAATCCTAACATAACACCACTCCACTCACCTTCCATGTTCACCTACAAACATTAACAACATCAAACAAAGAAAAATTGTTAACCTTCTGTTCAATCAATTCACCAATCAATATATAACCCCATTCAAATACATACGCATTTCAGAAGTAAAAATCATAGAAAAGTATCAAATTCAGAAGCTTACCCGGAGTCTCACTGGTATGATTTCTTGTCGGCTTCGCTACTTGAATCTTTGTTTGCTCATGTTGTAACTTATAAAACCTGTCGGATTCATTGAAATCAAACTTGGGGATAAGGGTTTGCATCGGGTTCCTGGGTTTTGTTTCACTGCTGCGGGTTTTGATTCGTGACTGAGAGTGAGAGGTTGAGAGAGAGACCTAGGGTGTTCGTTTCCATAGCGTGTTGTTATTGTGTTATGGAGAATAGAGGGATTGAGGAACAAGCAGAGAGAGGAAGATGAGTCATTTCAGTTTGAGATTTGGTTTGACAGTGCCAGCGGCTGCCCTCTCCATGATTAGGGTTTTGAGAATCCACCCCTTTTGCTTCATCGGATCTGGTTCGTGGGCTTGGCCTCAAAGCCCCAATCTGAACCTAATCCCTTCCCTTTAACCTATTTTGGGCTTTGATTTTGTTTAAGCCCAATTCTGATCTCTGTTGCACCCTTAATTTTCTTTTCTTTCTACATTTTATTTTGGTTTAGTTAATGATCTTAGGTTTTAATTTAGTTTAGGATTAAATTAGTAATTTTAATTTAATTAGTAATTATAGATTTTTTTAATTTAGTTTAGATTTAACTTAGGAATTCTAGAATTTTAATTTAGTTTTAGGATTAATTCAGTTATTTAGAATTTTAAGTTTTAGTTTAAAATTATCTTATCAATTTTAATTTAGATTTAATTTAATCTTTAGTTTTAATTCTAGATTCGTAATTTTGATTTATTTAATCTTCCCAGTTAGTTTAGTTAGCAATTTTTTTGAATAATTTAGTTAATTAAATTTTAGTTAACATTTTTTTATAAATTGTTTAACTTCTTCATGATAAGCAAATTTTTAAAATAGTAGAATATGATTTTATTTTCTTTTCAAAATTTCTCACAAACAAAAATACCAAAAATTCCTATGCTTTGTCAATTAATTTTATTTCATAAACTGTTATAATTTCGATTAATTTCTCGATTTGATTTGGTTGTATTGTTTGCCTATTTGGACATTTAATTGTACTAATTCATCCCCATTTGTGAATTTGTACTCCCCATTCCCGAAAGCTTTGTAATAGCGTAGAATTTTAAATTCCGCAATTTACTGTTTTCTATATACTGTATAGTAAATAGGTGTGTATGACAAGATTCAAAATCAATCGCTAGATAACCTAATCCAAGAGCAACTTAACTTGAATCAAACACACTTTTTCACACACGCACCTCTTGGGTAACCTCGCTCGTTGCCTCGGAAACACAGTCATGTCCCTCGAATATAGGACGCTTTAGCAAAGAACCTTCGATAAAAAAGATCGTAGTCCCTCGATGTTAAATTCGGTAAAACGATCTAGTCCCTTACAAAAATTGCTAAAGCGTCTCATAAGTTGCCTTCTATGACCGTACAAACGTCCCGCGTCCATTCCTTCACATCCGACGATGGGGCTTCTTACCAAATCAATGGTAAGATAGCAACATCTAAAGGAGGAAAAGAACATTTAAGACCTTTCGAGTAGGTAGATTCGCTCTTAATTACTCACTTGCTCACAACCAAACATTTTACACCAATACTTTCACATTAAAACCTTTTTCAAAAGACAAAAACTTTTTGTATACGTTCTTATAGAGACGAGAACCATTACAAAAACATCTTTTCAAAATCACCTTCAAAAAACAAAATACACAAACACCTCTTTGAACTATTTTTCGAAATAACACTTTGTATACGTTCTTATAGAGACGAGAACCATTGCAAATACATTTTCAAAATACTTTCGAAACCCACACCACAAGCACATTCAAACAAAAGAAAGTTATCTAGCGAGTAACTAAGAGCCCATGGAAAACCATGGATGAAAAGGGTGCTAATACCTTCCCTTTTCATAATCTACCCCCCGAACCCGAGAAGTAATCTCGAAAGGTCTTTCCTGTGCTTTTTTACCTTTCCTTTTGGATAAAAGAAAAGTCGGTGGCGACTCTTGCTAATCGCACAATTGTGATCAAACACAAACGACCCGAGTCAGTTCTCCCACCGTATCACAGTCTTAATGGTGTTATAGTTCTGTAACAGGGTGTGGGATCAGTTCTAAATGATGTTTAGAAGCTTTAGGAACCAAAAGGCTTGAAAACGCACGAGGGAGTTATGAGTTTCAAGTTTTTGGTCAGTTTATATGAAAATGGAGGTATGAGATGTGATTCTGAGTTCTAGGTCTTTTTAGGGCTTAAGCCTCAGTGTATTTGATGCAAATATTTTGTGTATCTATAAGCAAAATGATTGGAGTGCATTGGCAAGTCAGAAGTACACGTTACAAGCTTTTGGCTAGGTTACTTGATTTTCAAGAAAAGAGGGAAACCAAGTTTCAATGTGTAGTACAAGAATGGGATGAGTGATTGTAAGTGTCTAAACCATTTCTTATGAGTTATAGGACTTGTATGATCAGAAGAGAACAAGTGCAAGGCTCAAGAACAAGTTTTGTGCAAAAAAGCACTTTATCAAAATGGCAATGTACACTTTCTTCCAAAAATGGATATAAAGCATGTCTATGCATTGAATGCTTGAAATAAGACCTCTAACAGTTGTGCAAGCCATTAATTATGGAGTTCCTAACAAGTTTGAGGCTTTCAAAGTATATTTTATGCAGCATAGTTTGAATTTTGAATTTGGTTCATCACAAAATGACTTGTAATTCAAGTGATAAAACCCTAACTTCATCTCTTTGATACTCCCTACTCAAGAATGATCTCAAGGAGTTCTTGGACATTTTGGAAAGCTTGAAATGTTCTCTACAACCCATATTTGAATTGATTTTGAATATTCCCCTTGTAACTATATGAAAAAGTTCCATGAAGTTGGATCAAAATCCTGACCAAATTAGGGCAAAATTTCACTAAGTGTTTTGTTTCATGACCACGTGTTATTAAATTTATAACTTGAGATCCAAGCACTTTTTTAAGAAGTTGCATTAAGAAAATTTGTAGATTTCATGGAGATCTACAATTTTCGTGTTGTAAGTTTCTCTTGAATCACTTTGCATCATGGTGAAAAATTTGTTCAAAGTTGTGAAAAACATGAAATTTTCAACACCTAGAAAAATTTCTAAGTTTGAAAATTTTGACTTTTCAAAATGAAATCTCGAATTTTTGATTTCTTAATGAATAAGTTTCATATTTTTACATGTTTTAATGAATTGTTATCTTTGACATTGAAATTTGACCAAAAAGTCAAAGTTTGACTTTTCAGTGTACAGTTGACTTTTGATCAGTTTACTGAAAATTCATATGTCAATCTATTGGACTTGAGCAATGTTTTGAGCCATGTCATTAGGTAAAAATGATGCAATTGGACTCTTGAGATCATGACTTAAACTAATTGATCTTTTCTAGGTCAAAAATCATAAATTACCCTTTCCTAGTCAAAACCCTAATTTTGACCATTTTGCCCTTTTGATGATTTGATCAAATTTCTTGAGGAATTATGGTCCAAATTTGATCAAATGATACATATGAGTTTAAAATTTTGATGTGGATAAAATATTATGAAGTTTGACTGTGAATTGGCCATGGTTGACTTTTTTCCCCAATACAGCTGATTTTTAGGTCAACTGCTCAATTGACTGAGTAAAAGTGTGATCCAGGGCTTGAAACTTGACATGAGTAATCTTGGGGGTACATAATGATCCATGAAAGTCATATGAAGCATTGAAAGTTCAAAAATCCTTGTGCAATATCAAACCCTAATTTTGGTCATTAGTGCTTAAGGAGGTGTCTTGAGCTGATCAACCCTAGTGCAATCTTGAGCCCAAGGAGATCTTTGTGAGCAAATTCTTGATAAGTGAGAGGGAAAATTTTGGGGTACAACAAAGTGTATTTTAGGTTTTGGCAGTGTTGATAGTAGCTTTATGTATATTGATTGACAATATCTTTTCATACACGTTCTAGTTAAGATAATTATTATGAGCAGTGCCAATATTGCATTAATAAACAAAGTTCTTCTCTTAAAACTTATCAATATTCAGTAGTAGAATCACACAGAAACATAAACAACACAATGCATATGAGTAAAAAAGACACAACATTAGTGTAAAGGTAAAGACAACTATGTAATAAACCAATAAAGAAAATGTTCATTTGATCTTGTTTTACTAAATAATGAAAGCATTAAACATTCAAAATTCTACTAAGAAGTGTTGCTACTTAAAATAATTCGCACAAATTCCTTTCTCAATTCAAGAGCATCCATAGTGAAAAAGAAATCACATAGATTATTGTCTTTGGTGATAAGAATGACAACCCTTACCACATCTATAACTGATAGAACTTTAATTTATTTTAAAATAGAGACGACTTGGTTCCTCCTATCAGCCGTGTGTTTTTCGTGCACAAAGTAAGACGTGATTTGTTGCACATTCTCCTCACTTACAACATAAAACTCACCTAAATTGTTCAATGAAGTTAATAAACCATCATAAACATCATCATTATACTTTACCCTTTTACCCACACATTTTCCAGTCCTGTTTGATGTAGCCTCACATTGTGATTGATTTACCTGACTTGGTGCTTGAGTATCTTTATAGGTGAGCATTTCCGAGACTTTCGACTCATAGTTCTCTTCACCTTCATTCAAATTGAATTCAAACTCATTCCCTTGTGTTAGTTGGAAATATTCTTTCACAATGTTATAAGTGTGCTCTACTGGACTTTCTGATGTAATACCAAATGCTTTATCTTTTCCAAATACAACATCCAAGTTGTCAAAGTGAGGAAATGGTTTTCCATACAAACCAGGTGCAGTATGATGAGATTGCATTAAAGTAAAACATGTATGAACAATAAAATAAATTTTGAAAAGCGTAAATTAAAATGTTTTATACATTGTTATAATTGGAAATGAAATGTCACCTTGTACCATTGCCCAAGCCGGGATACCCTTTTTTGCCCAAGCCGCCCTTTCTGGTTTTCAGCTTGCCAGGTGTACAGATTGTTTTGTATTTTATCCCTAATTTTTGCCCAAACCATTTTGGTTCATCGGGATGCCCTAATTTTTTCCTAGGCCAGTCGACCTAGCGGGTCTTCATTCATGCGTAGTACCTTTTGACTATGTCCGTGTTTACAGGGTGCGGAAGGTCGTCGCCATCCATAGTGGTTAAGATCATTGCTCCACCAGAGAATATGTTTTTGATCACAAATGGTCCTTTATATGTAGGAGTCAATTTTCCCCTAGGATCACCTTGTGGCAATATGATACGCTTGATTACCAAGTCACCAACCCAATATACCTGACGTATGACCTTCTTGTTAAAAGCTTTGATCATACGTTTTTGGTACATCTGACCATGACAGACAATCGTAAGCCTCTTCTCATCAATCAAGTTCAACTGGTCAAGTCGAGTTTGAATCCATTCATCTTCATTCAGCCCTACATCTTTTATGATTCTCAGAGAAGGTATTTGAACTTCAATTGGTAGGACAGTTTCCACACCGTATACCAAAGAGAAAGGAGTTGCCCCAGTTGACGTGCGCGCCGTGGTACGATAACCATGGAGAGAAAATGGTAACATCTCATGTGTTGTACCCCAAAATTTTCCCTCGTATTTTTCCACAAGAAATCACAACTTCAGGCTTTTCCTGATTTTTCAGATTGGCTCAAGAATCGGTTAAACAGACTTTTCTCGTCAGTCAGACAAAATTAGGGTTTTCATTGGTTTTCATGGCTCTAGAACAGTTCACACAGTTTGTTTAGGGTTTGGTTAATTTTGGCTCAGCTTTGGTCAGGCGAACGCTCCTTTGGCATTTGATCAGAAACTAGGGTCTCCGCACGCATATTTCTCAGAAAGATTTTATTCTACAGTGCTTGTCAAGTTATTCTGAGATGTGGACAGAAACATTTGGATTGAGTTTGCAGTGTTTGATTAAAATCAGTAAAAGGAAAAGACATTTGGGCATGTGTGATTTGACAGTGCATTGCTTTGATTATTCAAGATACCACAATGTTTATTTAATTATTTATTTATTCTAAGTTGAGATAATTGGAATTTATTTCCATTTATTATAATTTAAGAATTATAAATAATAAAATAAATACTTGAAAAGAAGAAAAGGAATTAACTGATAGAAGATTGGATTTTATTCATCTTTAATTATTCGTTACAATTGTTATTTGAGTACCGTATTTATTTACAAAGTATTCTAATGATGATTACAATAATTAAATTTAAATAAAACTATCCTAAGAAAATTCCTAAGTCTTCATCTTCCGTCCATTGCTCCAGTGCTCCATGGAATTTTATCTGCAAAACAAAGAATAAAAGAAAAGTCAATTGCAGATAAAATAAATAGAGACAGACAGTTAAAAAAGGTCATCATTAAAAGCAAATGGCCGGGATCAGTTAGCCCTCTCTGCAAATCACGGGATTTCTCCCGGTTCACAAAGAAGGGTGAAAATGTTTGCAAGTCAAAAATGAATGCACAAAGTCAAAGATTGTTGTTGCACCCCAAAATTTTCCCTCCCATATTTTTCAAGAAATTGCCAAGCCAAGCTTCAAAATCTCCCCAAGGGTTGCACAATGCAAAGATCTCCTATACAGTCAAAATTAGGGTTTGTGTTCTGATCAAGAAAATGAAGTTTCTAAAGGTCCAATCAAGTCTCACATGCCTATAAACATGGTCAAGTATCCTCATATCAAGTTTCAAGGCTTTCAGCACAAAATTGCACAGTCAAAACCCTAAATTGCACTACAGTCAACTGTAGGGGCAAAATGGTCATTTGACAGTCAAAAGTTCAAATTTTTGGTCAACATATCATTTTTAAGCCACAAACATCATTTGGATCAATTCTTGATCATGATTCTCAAAGCTTGGCTCAAAAATCATCAAGATGCAAAAGTTTCCTTATTTGGACAGCTGAAAAAGTCAACTGAAATTGACCAGGGCATAACTTTCACATGGATTATCAGAAAAATTCCATCCAAAGCTCATTTTGAAGAGAAAGACATTTCCTACAACTCATCTTCATACTTCAAGTCCAAGAAATTCTCTCACAAAAAGTTATCAATTTCAACATTATAGGTCATTTTCAAAAGTCAACAAAAAGGGACTTTAAGTCAAAGGCCATAACTTGAGATTGGTAAATCAAAATGACATGGTACCAAAGGCATTAGTTAGAGGACTCAAATACCTTTCCAAAATGTCCAAGAACATGAGAAAAGCTTAAAAATTGAGCAAGTTATGCCTTGTAGAAGTTGGGAAATTTTTGGATATTTTGAAAAGTCAACATTGATCCAAATGACCTAAAATTGCTAATGGGCCCATTTTTCTTCCACAAATCATCATCCATGGCATGTGCACGACCACTTGGCCCAAAGGGAAGTATTTTCTCATTATTTATTTATTTATTTGAATTTTTATTTATAATAATTCACTTAAATCAATTAAATATGTGAAAAATATTTAACTTAACCTAACAAATCTTTTTGTACTTGTTTTATTCTCAAGATTTCGTGCATAAGTCAATAAGGAAAGATTTGGATGGAATTGATCTTAATTGATACAAAGTTGTATGAAAAATATTTGAAAAAAGATCCTAGAAAATCAATTTTCAAAATCAATGAATGCAATGGATTTGATTGATTTTTCTTGACCTAATGCATTCAGTACAAAAGCCTAATCACAACCCTAGTGCAAGAACACACGCAGCAGCTCAACAAAGCCATAACCAAACTTGAAATTTTTCTCAAAAAAAGTCAATTCTGAAAACATCCTGCCAGGACGATTCAAGACATAATTCTTGTTCCAATAGCTTCCTCAAGCATCACTGGACATATTCCAATCACAAACATTCATCACAGCTTCAAGAATTGGTAACACGAGTGCCCACTGTATCAAGAAAAACTCATAATCATACATCACGATTCATGCATCCTTTATAACTTTTAATGCTTGATTTACATTCCTTGTGAAGTTCTGAAGCTAACCAACATATTTAATTATATTATTATGCGTTGTGTACGATTTCACCATGGTTAATTTCTAGGGTTCACAGGATTCCAAATTGGGGCTTTTCACCCAAGGAAAAATTGAGACTTATGACCACCATCATTCAAATCAACGCGTTGGGACGAACAAGAACCAACCCTCGCGCTCAATTTATGAGTGTCTGAGGGCTAATCGCTATTTTCTGGAAAGTGGCCTAGGAGAACGTTAATAAAACCGTTGCCTGTTTCTTTGTATTTTCAGGAAAATAAAACCAACGAAGAAGACGCTTATGTGGCGAAGGCTGACTGGTCCGTTTGAATTCTGGCGCGGAAAAAAGCACTAACTCACGTTTTCCTTTATATTAATTGTTGATGATTATAAATACAAACGCGTGGTAGTGGTTCAGTGGCAAGTGTATGTATTGGCAATCCTCATGACCTGGGTTCGAGACCCAGGTCCTCACTTTCTTTCATATTTTTCTTCATATAACGTTCCCATGCAGTGCCAACGTCAAGACGCACCATATGCCTTCCTGAATCCCACATCCACGTGTCCCTGGAGATCAAATCAAAGGCATAGATTGGAAGCGTATCATAAGCCTGGTCAAAGCGCTAGCACGCTACCTGGAAAAGGTCAAACGGACCAAGGTTGTTGGGCCAGAATTCTTGGATTAAACCTCCTATTTGGGGACTGCCACCCCCCCTGGTTTGCAATTCTCTATATTTTCCTTATATTTTATTTTCAATTATTATTTTATTTTCTTTATTGTTTTGAATTAATCAATTATTCTCACAAAAATATAAAAATACACATAAAAATCAGAAAAAGAATTAAAATAATAAACATTTTTATTTGTAGTATTTTCATAAATAAATTTGCATGTAAATTATTTAGTTTTAAATTAGGTTGCAATTTTAATTTTTTTCATAATAAAATCTAAAAAATATAGAACTAGGTTTAATTAATGTTTTATTCCTTTTTAATTTTTCTTTTTCACAATAATATTATTTATTTTATTTATTTTCATAATTAAATTTGTATATATAACTTAGGGTTAATTTAGTTTAAATTCTAATATTTTCTTAATAAATTAAAATAAAATAGAATTAGGGTTAGCGTTTAATTGCAATTAATTTTTTCTATTAAATCTTAAAATACTAAAAAACACCAAAAAACAAGTTCTTTCTCTTTTAATTAATTAACTCCGTTATTAATTTAATTTTTGCAAAAGGGTCCAACGCCCTCGTTCTTAATTTCTTATTTATTCGCATATTTATTTTATGTCATTTAAATAATTATGTACCTCTCCCGAAGCCATGTAAATTACTTCTCGCACTTTTCACTTTCTTTATCTTTCTGTCAAATCGGGTCCTGGTTAATTTGGCGATGTGGACCCGCGCCTTTTGTAATAGCTTAGAATCTTTTACTTTCTCGCAATATTTTAACTGTTAATAAATGCATGCAAGAATGAATGATAAAATAAAAACAAACACATAGATCACCTTGACATGAATAAGACAAAATAACTGAACATGACACACAAATCACACACCACCCCTAGGGTACGCCTCACTGTTGCCTTGCCTCGAAAGGTGATCGTCGAGTAGAGGATGTTTTAGTAAGTCCTCATGATCCGGGAACCTGGCATGAGGGTAGCTTCTAAGGTGTCTTCCTATTGCTCCGGTGATCACCATGTCCCGAACCTCGAATTGACCCGAACACCTCCAATGGTGGTGCTACCTACCTCTCAATGGTGGGATGGCACTACTTTAGGGACATCTACACAGACGAATTCCTTAGGGTAGGTAGACGACTCTTAATACTTGCTCTAATTTC